AGTAGGCACTCATTAATGTTTGTTGAATCAACATCTGAATGAATAGCAGAGTCAAGAAATATAAGTGTTTTATAAATTACAAAGCTATGTAAAGTGTAAGTTTTTATTATTCTCTTTCTTATTCATATAAGGCTCACCTACTTTGACCACGCCAATCCACAATCATATCTCTCTTTGCAGATAGGAAAATGTGTATTTGATGTTTATTGAGTGATTGTTTATTGATTAACTAAAGTTACTCATCCTCTATGGAGATTTAATCTACAAACCATCAGGCTATACTAATGATCCCAGTGGCTTTCCTCCACGGTAGTAAAAGGTTTGGAGGAGGAAAGCAGAAAGATCCTCCAATCTGTGATCACTTTAGCCCTATCATTACAATCAGTAGCTTTCTTACTTGGTATTTTCAGAGATGTGCTGCTCACAGGGATACCCTTTTTGGGAATACATTTCCAAGAATATGTATTCTCATTGGTATTAAAAACTATGGGGGAACTGATACTTTGTTGCTGACAGCTCTCAGGTGTTTCTTTTGTAGACTCGTATTCTCCTTAAGGGGAGAGTGTCAAACCCATCGATTCAGTCTATTCTGTTGTCAGACAGTTGGAATCTAAACACATGACACTGTCAAACCAAAAAGGACCTTGGATTGTGGCATTCAGAACTAATGACAGTGTGTCTGTCCCCTTCCATTGTACTGTGCCAAAAAGCTTTATCCAGTGTAATCAAATTAAAAGGATGCATAAGACCAGGCCTTAAGGGAAATGAAAGTTACCAAAAGGCAGTAGAGATCTTGAGGAATGCATGAGTGTGGGTGACGGTGTATAATGGAGGATACTTTTAACCCTGGTTTGGGTAATAGAAATGTATTACGACGTACATACATACTTTTGAACTTTTTTAAAGCACTAACTAGAGAGCCTACCTTTTTCCAGGAATACCTCTATAACTCTCTGTCTAATTACCAGCAGCTTGGAATCTTCTGAAGTTCTGAGGTCATTGCTCACAGCTAACTCTGAGGCCTGCTTCTATCATCTTGGCAATTGGATGTCTGGCTCTTGCAAAATAATTGTTCTCTAGGAGATTGCTTTTTATTTAAGGTCCTTTGTCTTAAGTAAGAATTCAAATTTGGATCAAACATGAATGGTAACCAATTTGGAATGAAAAGAAGATTTATTATCTTCTGATGTCTGAACATTTCCTAGGAGCTTTGGAATAAGTATGTAAGACACATCTGAGATGACTGAGTGTTGTTATTATTAGCTCAATTCCACTTAGCTTGTTAAATCCATGACAACACGAAGATAATCCTTTGTAAAAACGAGCACTGTTAATCTGAAATACATGAGAAGTCTTAACAAGTCATATACTTTAGACATCTTGAAATGTTATTCAAAACTGGATATTCTTTTCCCTTTTAGGGAAAAGGGATTGATGAGAACTAAAAGAATGCCCAAATATTTCCTATTTTTTTCTTTAGCTTAAGGACCCTAAGTCTAGGTCTGAGCTCTTGTTTCTTTTCTATCAGTTACAATTTAAGTAGGAGCTCAAATGTCTGGGTTGTATTGATTCTGCAAGCACTCTAAACAAGATGACATTTTATTCATCGAAAGGAAAATTGAGTATGTGTTAAATGTCCAAGGGCCTGTTTAGTCTTCTTTCTGTCTCTTTTCCTCTATTTCTGTAACAATCTCTTCCTAACTTATCCCCAATATTTAAAATATTTTTTCTTCTTTTTTCTCTCATATGTACCCAACCCCCAATATAGAAGAAGGACTGTGGGGCACAAAGAAAGGAGAAGTCATGATGGATGGAGTGGGATGAGACAGAATTAAGCAGCAGGCTAGAAGAATTTATACAGTGACCTTTTCTACTAATCCCTAAAGAATTCTTAATTAAAGGCAAAAGTAATTGTCATCTGAGGGTGTTTTAGCACCTTGATTGTAACAGGAATTAATGGACCTAAGATGTCTGAATTTATCTAATCAAATTAGATAAAGGAATGGCTTCCTTTATTGCCTTTTCTGTAGGGATGAGGATATGTACTTCTTGCTATGAGTCTATCAGACTTCTTAGCAGATTTTTTTTTTTTTTTTTTTTTTTAACAGAGTCTTGCTCTGTCGCTAGGCTGGAGTGCAGTGGTGCAATCTCAGCTCACTGAAACCTCCGCCTCCGAGGTTCAATCTGTTCGCCTGCCTCAGCCTCCTGAGTAGCTGGACTACAGGCGCATGCCACCATGCCAAGCTAATTTTTGCATCTTTAGCAGAGACGAGGTTTCACCATGTTGGCCAGGATGGTCTTGATCTCTTGACCTCGTGATCTACTCCCCTCAGCCTCCCAAAATGCTGAGCCACTGTGCCCGGCCAGCAGTTTTATTTCTGCACTGCAAAGCAACTGGCATATTGACTAATCTATCTTTTGTAGGGTTGACTAGTATAGATATATCTTTCAACAGTTTGCTCATATCTGATTGAACTGGGAAAGCTTTTCTCAGTGACCCTTAAATCATACCACATAGATATTATTGAAACACAAATAACACTCTAGTGAGGGATAAAGTGACTTTAGGTCTTTATTTTACACACACACACACACACACACACACACACACACACACACACACACACACTACATACTTATATATTCTAAAAAGGTATTTGTATTATAACCAAATCTGTGATTGAATAAGTGGCTTTATGAAAGAGTAGTGGGATATTGTGTTACATTCAGAACGTGGTGCAAAAAACTATTTTAATCCTTAGCATATAATACTAAGAATCAACAGGTTTGGTTGAAGTAGCAAGTAATGACAAAAGGTGGATAGTGCTTTCACAGAAATAATTCTTAAATACTACTCTTAAATATTTTATTCCTTTCAGAGTTCACATTGAGCTGTGCATAAGTATTATAGGGCTAGTGGCAACTGTAATTCAGAGCGTTGGATCCTACTGACAGGTCCTAAGAGTAGGATGAGATTGCTGAGACTTAAGAGTGATGTCCCTGACCTAGAAATATAGTCTAGGGAGTGGAAGGTAGCTAGCCCTACTGTCTCCCCATGCAATCAGTTTTGTTATGTGTTTTAGCCTCCTGGAATGAATGGAATTTAAACAAAATCCTTTTGATGGTGGTTTCTATTTTCAAGTTGCTTTCAAATTTTATATTTATCATTTTAAGAGATTTAGAAAATATTACTATCAGCTCATTACTGCATTTGATACACGAACGAACTGAGAAATACTAACGGCTGTTAACTTGCTAGAGAACACGCAGTTGTTTACATGTCAAAGGAAGGGTGGACTCCCAGTTATCCCAGTTACCCAGTTTCTCTCCCACTGAAACCCATGCAGCAGGATAGTTTAGAGCAGCCACTGTTAGGTGTTAAGAACATGAGAATAACAAAATGGACCAAAGTAGAGGTTCATGCAGGGCAATGTCTTTTAGGAGATTACGATAGTTCTCTTCATAGTATTGAATTCACAAGGTTGGGTATGTACCTTAAGAATCAGTGCCTTCCCTTTATTATCCTTTATTATTGACCAATTATACTGAAAATACAGATTCATAATTTTCTGTACTGTGGAAGAATCTTGCTTTTGTGCCAGATAAATAGTTTCTAATGCATCAAAATTTCATAAAGGAAAGGTAGTGAAAAATGAGAATTGATGATTGTGGGTTAGGAATACACTAACATGCTAGATTAAGTCTAAAAGCAAATCGAAAACTTTTCTTAACTTACCATTATCTTTGTGCTCACTGGCTCCCAAACTGACTTATTTTTTTTGGAGGAACCCTGATTCGCTGGTGTAGTCAATACTTAGGAGAACTGGGGAACAGTTTTTTGTCATGGATGAATGTAAATATAGTACTTGAGGTTGTGTATGATGTACAAACCGATGACTTTAGTTCTAATTAAGCCATTAATAGTAAAACAACAACAGAAAACATTTTTTGACTAAGACTTCTTGCAATAAATTTAATATTGTCTAGAAACAAATTTTTCTAATATATTTTAAATGTAATGCAGTCCTTTGTATTTTATAATGCATTGTAAAAATACAAATACTTTTTTATTTAAAATAGTGTACAACCTAGTTGATTTAGTTACAGTTTCTTTTTAAATAATCATTTGTTAGACATATGGTATCATAGCTTCTCTCTAGGTTTCAAAATAATCAGAATACTGGAAGGCAGAACAACTGAATTCAGTAGGTGGAGCTCACCAAGCCATTTGTCTACTCTTGAAAACAGCTTTTTTGCCACTAAGTAGAAAAATGCTCCTGGCTAAAGATTTTATTAAAATGTATGAATTGTTGGCTCTGTGTAAACGTAGTCTATGCCAGGTGTGTCTAACACACTAACTAGATCATGCAGTTTTTTTATACTCATTTATAGTTGAGAGAGCTTTATTTTTACCATCTCTGGCCAGAACTGGCCAATTTCTAGTTGTATGATGTATTTCAAGAAAACTTTTTAGCCTCTCCAAGTTTAGTTTCTCATTCATAACTGGGACAGTAACACTTACCTTGTCTAAATTATAGGATGTTGAAAGGATCAGGTGGGATAATAAATGTGAAACTACCTTGTGAAAATCTTACTCTCCACTGGTTTACCTTCAGTAGTCACTATATATTTATTTTCCATTTTGAAGGAAACTGCCACTACATTAGAGAAACTCCACTGAACTCTTAAAATGGAATTTGAAAATATGTCTTATATTTCTGGCTTAATTGCAAAGGCACTGAAGGCTTGTGGAGTGTCTCCTCTGTATTTTGCCACATTGAGCCCTAGCAGAAGCACCAAGCAATATTTGTTGACAGACTGATCATATTATTAATCTCTGGCTAAGATATAAACCAGAAAAAATTCATACTAGCACCCAAACTTAAAGCAGGCAAGGCAGATAACTTATCCCCAAACTCCTGGGAATTTGCTAAAATTTACCATTAGCAACATTTTATTAAATACTGTTCTGGTCCTAGTACTGAATAGAGTCTCCTTACCTGCTAACTTCAGGGTCCACAGTTTACTGTCCTTTTGCGTTTGCTCTCAGAAGCCTGCTCCAAGTCTTCAGTAAATTCAGTCTAGAAGTCCTTGCAGAGCTAATCCTCGTTGGTGAGCTGCATAGAATCTGGATACTTTGTAAGGTCATAAAAGCACAGTCCATTCACAGAGTGCCTGCTCTTTAAGCAAACTTCTTTTCAAAGATGAGGTGCTGCTATTTTTAAGAGGGGAAGGGCAGGGCACATTTGCTAGCCAATATATAGAGATTCTTCTTCCTCTTTCAGATTAGGCTTCAAACTGTTAAAGCACTCCCGGAGTCTGACTTCTCTGGTGAAAGTGGGGGAGGGGAAGGGACAGAGAGGAAGGACGAATAGAAACTGGAGATTTGCAAGTTGCGTGTATGTTTAGTAAACTTTTCTTCCTAGCTCCAGCAATACAATTCTCAGGAAATTATTCAGCTGCTCTACCATGGGAAGCAGGGAGGAGTGTTCTCTCTTCAGCTTAGTTCTGTCTGATTTCAATGATTGTGAGCTCATTAGACTATTTGTAGGTGGGGAAAGTTAATCCTGCCAGTGTATGCTAATATAACTGGCATTATGTGAAACTTGATCTTAAGGAACATAAATTTCATCTCTCTTTCTCTGTCTCTCTCTCCTTAATGACACTTGTGGCTCTATCCACATTCTAAAAAGCCTTTTCCTTTCTGGTTCCTTTTTGAGTTTTGTTTCCTGAAATCCTCATAACAATAAATTGCCTCCATTGGGTTAAAATGGTTTTTTCTTTTTTTGTGCCAGTGAAGATCATCTGGAATGATGGAGCTTACTGTCAGTGGTTCCGTGTTTGGAATTTGGAGGATCAGGCAAGTGCTCTCGACTTTCGGCTAGGCTCTGAGGCGTTAGAGCTGTGGGGTGCTCAGTCTGGCTTCTGGAGAATAGGGACACAGCAGTGTGGTATGTGCTGATTGAAGCCTGGGGCAGCACTTTGATGTTACAAACCAAATTGATAAGACTGTGATGTGAATTTGGTACTTCAATTATCTTGAATTATATTAAGAAGATTCTGTATGGAGATGGACATAAATATGTTGATTTTAACACTTTGCAAACATGCCCCGTAACTAATAACTAGTTTTATGTACTTATAAAATATGGGCCCAGCAGTAGCCTTCTGGCTTGCTACCTGCTGTAGGAACAAAGTCATTTACTCAAACTTTGCATCTTTAGGTACAAGAATTACCTCACAACCAACCTGGGGCAATGGCTCTAAGACTCCTTGAATCTTTTTCTCCTTTCACAGAGTTCTGGATTGTGGTGGTGATGGTGATGGTTGGAGGAAAAGGCTATCCAACCACATTAGAAGGGATGATAACATTTGGATTCAGGACCAGCCTTTCTAATCCTCTCCTAGGGAGTCTTACTAACTAAACTGACACTCAAACTAGTATTTCTTCGACTGAGTTTGGATCCCCAGAGATCTATAGGAAAGTTCATCAGTGAGACAAAATGTGAATTATTACTTCTCCTCCAGTCTGAAATGGTATGGCCATTTTGAGCTACAGTGGAAGGGCAATTCATACCTAGGAAATGAAGAAAAGAGAAAGAGGCTATATCCTTGAGCTTCAAGTTGGCACCAAAATAGCTGTGGCAGAGAGGGTGTTACTTGTGGTTTTTCTTTATGCTCCCCTGCTTGTTTCTTTTATTAGCTAATTCTCTGTTCCAGAGGGGTGGGAAAAACAGTGATCCACCCATCCCCAAATGGGTCTTTGCCTTGTACAACTGGATCAATTTATACCACATTTGCTATAAATGACGTCAGACTTCTTGTCTCCTTTTTTCATCTCTTTATCTTTTCTTATCCATCCATCTTCATTACTTATCTACTCTCACATTCTCTTTCACTTTAGGAAGGGTTGAAGTGCCCAGAATGATACCTCTCTGCTGCTGCCTCTCTCCTCTCACTTATTTTCCTAGACTCCTTTACTTTCTTATTGAGGTAGGGAAGACCAAATAGAGAATGGTGAGGGAGATGGGGGATAACATGTAGTTGGATGGGAGATCTGTCCTAATGAAGTAAGACTTTGGTAGAAGGTTAAATAATTTTCAGTCACAACAGCATTCAGATGTGAGTGACAGGATTCATATCTTTTATGAATCTAGAGCTGAAAGAGGTAATGAAAAATCATCATCTGGTTCAGACTTTATATTAAATTGAATTCTTGAGGGTATGACATATCTGATTTATTATTGTGTCCTCAGCTATTGGCTCATTGCCTTGTTTGGTTTGTTGAATAAATAAATCTAGTCCAACTCTTTCATATTATAAATGAGAAAACAGGCTAGAAAGAGGCTCTCTCAAGATGTCTTTATTTTACCACAAAATAAAAAAAGAGTCATTTTTCTTTCTCCAGGACTGAATTTTTTTTCACAGCCAATACTAATGGGCACTTTGGAAGGGTAGATAAAGGGCATGAATATAGTCAAAGCCCAGCTGTATACATACATATATACTTGTTAAATTAAGTTTAGCCTAAAGCTGTCTCCTGGAAATATATTAAGTTTAGCCTAAAGGCTAAACTGTATGAAGTGAATTATAATGTAACTAGAAGTATAAACAGACTATAACCTACTCTTGTGCCAATCATCAAGGTTTGACTAAACAAAGGTGACCACCTGTTCCAACCATGTTCAGATAAGGCAAATGCCAAGCTATAACCAATCCAGCTATTTCTGTATCTCACTTTGACTTGCTGTATGTCACTTTCTTTTTTCTGTCTATAAATCTTCAACCATACCTCAGTGCTGGAGCCTCTCTGAACCTTTTCTGGTTTGGAGACTGCCTGATTCACAAATTGTTTGCTCAATTAAACTCTGTTAATTTTAATTTGTCTGGGGCTTTTCTTTTATCACATTCATTCACAGAGGCTAGGATAGCCATGATTCACCTTTTAGTTCCAGTTTGTAAAAACATGGAGACAATTAAAAAAAAAAATCAGGCTGGCTGTGGAAATATGGCTGTTACAACTTTCTTTCTTCCTGCCTCAGGGCCTATTCCATGGGTATAAAAAAAACCCTGTATTGTCATTTTTAGTGAGGGAAGGGCCCTTCTACTGATAGTGCTGGATGAGGTTGAATGAACCCTGTGAACAGAACAGCATAGCCCACATAGAAGAGATGGCACAGATCATCTAAGTAATGTTACATTACCACCTACATTATTCTCTGCTGTCACCACTAGCCATGCGGTAACCGCTAGAGACACTTGGTTATTTAAATTTAAATGTAAATTAATAAAATAAATAAGTTATTATGTTTTTAAAATTGTATTAGCCACATTTCAGGGGCTCAATAGCATAGCCACATGTGAATGTCGCTACTGCATCAAACAGCAAAAAGTTAGGACAGATGTTAAAATTAACACCTAGTTTGGGGTAAAGAATATCATTAGTAGAAGTTCATATAATTAAGTGCCAAAGATAGGAAACAAACCCAGGTTTCTGGGCATCTAATGAAGAGTAAGCAGATTTATTTCCACCTCTACATATTTATTTCTGTTCAGTGTGGATCTCTGAGCATGGTTCAAGCACATTGAGTGTGTGCGACTCTATGTGTGAGCTTTAAAGTGTTTTGCGGGGGTGGGATCTGGTTAGCATGGATGAGGGAGCTCCTTTACATAAATTCATGCAGTTCTTGCCTTTCCATCCTGACAGGACCAAAAGAGAAAATACACATAAGCGTGCAATGAAAAGAAAACAAAATGTTATACAAATGAAAGGTGTCATAATTATGATGAGCTCCGGCTTACTTCCTGCTGCTTAGTGTTTGCCCCTGAGTTCAGCTGAAGATGGATATGGATGGGGAAGTGGGCTGGATTGGAGGAAGTTTTGGCAGATGAGGTGAAAAATAGTCTGCTGGGTGTGTGGGGTCAGGGAACTTGCTTAATGGTCTCCAAGCCTGGGAACTGGAGCCAGTTAGACTTGCTCTTACCTCAACTTTTCCTCCAAGAGAGGACCAGTTAGGAGGAATTAGGTAAAGACCTTCAGTGAGAGCTAGGCCTTTCCTTAATTAGGGAGATTGTCTATAATCACTTAAAAATGTGTTAAGTTTAGAAATAATGCATGTTCTCACTTATAAGTGGGAGCTAAATGTTGAATACACATGGACATAAAGATAGGAACAATAGACACTGTACTATTTGAGGGGGGACCTGGGAGAGGGATGAGGGTCAAAAAACTACCTACCAGGTGCTATGATTACTACCTGGGTGACAAAATCATTTGTATACCAAGTCTCAGTGAGAGGTAATTTACTCATGTAACAAACCTGCATATGTACTCCCTGAACCTAAATATGAAAGTAAAATTTAAAAAAAATCAGAAAAAATTCAGATTCATTAAAGAGAAGTGGCCTAAAGTCTGACTGTCATAGGAGAGGTCATCCACTATTGATGGGGAGAATTAAAACACAGCATGGATTATACAATGAGGAGATGGAGGTAATGATGACTTTAATGCCCTGGGTTGGTGGGCATGGGAAAGATACAGGGAGGGTGTTTAGATTTTAGAGTCAACCCCTCATACTTACTCACCATGCAGGTTTGGGATACAGGGAGCCTGGGCCAAATTTCATCTTGCGCTGCAGATCTGGGTGAGTTCTAGAGTTCTGCAGATCCTATTTCAATAGAATGTTGGAACTGCAGAGGGCCAGGGAAAGCATCAGTGTCTTCCTCTTATTCTACACATGAAGAAACTTATGAAGCAAATTAGTTGTAGGGTTGCTTTGTTTTGTTTGTTGAATAAATAAATCTAGTCCAACTCTCTCATGTTACAGATGAGGAAACTGAATCCAGAGAGGATCCCTCAAAAACTTTGAGGCTCTATCAAGATGATTTTTTTTTTCTATCCTTGGATAGATTATTCCATCATTCTGAGTCTTAGTATTCTTACTACAAAAAATGATCACAATAATCTTGGCTCTGTATATTTCATATAATTTAAAAATCAAATAAAATGAAAGCCATGAAAGGGCTTTATAAACTGTAAGGTATTATGCAGATAAAATTATTTTATTGCCTATGTCTTCATCCTCCTCTCCTATCCAATGCCTTCTCTCACCCAAAATGTTGCATGCCTTCTTATAAATATTTTCTTTGAGAGAGATATTTGGGTAACTTTGAGATAATTTGGGGTTTTGGAGGGTGTTATGCTCCCAGGGCAGGGAATTATTGCCATTAACTATCTAGTTGCAAAGGATCACTTTTACATATGGAGTTATGTTTACCACAATGGCAGCATCTGCCAGGTATTATTTGTGTGTATTTCCTGCTTGCTTTTGTGTGTTAGGGCTTGGTGTAAGAACAAAGCTTAGGAACAGTTGAAGCACTATTTGTAAAAATTGCCTTAGCTGTTGAAGTTCTCTGAAGGTAAAGGGAAAACATTCATTTGACTCGAACTTGGAATCCCAA